AAAAATTATCTTTCTGTCATTTTACTTATTTACCTGGACTTCTCAAACACAACTTCCACTGCCTCCTAGTGTGAAAACTATCATTTAAAAATACTCCAACCATTTTCCCTCCATATTCTGGCTTTTCTTTATAACCCCTTGTAATGTGGGATGTAATTTTTTTCTTTTTTTTTTTTGATAACTGAAGCAAACAAAAAAAGCACAGAATGTACCCTTCTCATCTGCTATTTGCTCAGTTTATGCAGTAAGCTATGAATTATTATTTGCTTTCGTGACTTCAGCTCTCCCCTGCTACTAAAATATTCACAGATTCTTCTTATGTTTTTTTTTTTTCTTCTTAATTTTTCACTGTTAAGAAAATACAAAAGCAAGCATTTTACACAGAAACATTTGACATGTAACAGGTCTGTGTTGTCTCACCTCTGTGTCTGGCAAGATTATGGAACAATCCTCCTGGAAACCATGCTAAAACACAAGGAAAATAACGAGGCAATTGATGATGGCCAACATGGCTTCACTAAGGGCAGATCGTGCTTGACAAATCTGGTGCCTTTATATGATGGAGTTACAACATTGGTGGATAGGGGAAGAGCAACTGACATCATCTACCTGGACCTCTGCAAAGCATTCAACCCTGTCCCCCAAGATATCTTTGTCTCTAAATTGGAGAGACATGGATTTGATGGATGGATGGACCAGTCAGTGGGTAAGGAATTGGCTGGATGGTCGCACTCAAAGAGTTGTCAATGGCTCAACGTCCAAGTGGATATCAGTAAAGAGTATTCCTCGGGGGTCAGTATTGAGACCAGATCTGTTTAACAATTTTTTCAGTGACATGGACAGTGATACTGAGTACACCCTCAGCAAGTTTGCTGATGACACCAAGCTTTGTGGTGTGGCCAAACCTGCTGGACGGAAAGGATGCCATCCAGAGGGACCGGAACAGCTTGAGAGGTGAGGCTGTGTGAACCTTGTGAAGTTCAGCAAGGCAAAGTGCAAGGTCTACATATAGTCTGGGGCAATCCCAAGCACAAATACAGACTGGGCGGAGAATGGATTGAGAGCAGCCCAGAGGAGAAGGACCTGGGGGTGTGCTGGTTGATAAGAAGCTCAACACAAGCCATTAATGTGTGCTTGCTGCCCAGAAAGGCAACTGTATCCTGGGCTGCATCAAAAGAAGTGTGGCCAGCAGGTCGAGGGATGTGACTCTCCCCCTCTGCTTTCTCTTCTGTGAGAAGGTGGAGACCTGGAGCACTGTGTTCACCTCTGGGGCCCACAGCATAAGAAAGGCATAGATCTGTTAGAGCAGGTCCGGGGGGAGGGTGGGCCACGAAGATGATCAGAGGGCTAGAGCACTTCTACAAAGAACGGCTGAGGGAACTGGGGTTATTTGGCCTAGACAATAGAAGGTTCCAGGGAGTCATTACAGCAGCCTTCCAGTACCTAAAATGTAGCAGCCTTCCAGTACCTACAGGAAAGCTGGGGAGAAACTCTTTGTCAGGGATTGTAGTGATAGTGCAAGGAGTAATGGCTTTAAAGACAGAAGATTTAGATTAGATACAAGGAAGATTCTTCACTCAGGGGGTGGTGAGGCACTGGCACAGGCTGCCCAGAGAAGCTATGGATGCCTCATCCCTGGAAGTGTTCAAGGCCAGCTTGGAAGAGGTTCTGAGCAACGTGGTCAAGTGCAAGGTGTTTCTGCCTATGGCAGGGGGATTGGAATTAGATGATCTTTAAGGTCCCTTCCAACCTAAGTCATTCTGTGAATCTGTGTGTAATGAATATGTTCCATTTGGCTGAAGAGGTTTAAGAGCCCCTTGCCAAAGGGACATGAAAGGGCATCTGCAGCTCAAATAATTAAAAACTTCTGATTCAAGGAAGAGCACACAGACATATAAACTACATATTAATGCCATGGTCCAGGAACACTTCATAACTAGTCTTCCTCCCCCTCCTTTCAAAATAGCTGCAAAGCTACTCCTTCATAGAAAAACATTTACATGCTATGCTGCAAACAGATTTTTTAAGAGCTTTAAAAACAAATATCTGATTTCCTAAACAAATAACATGCTGAAATTACATAGGTACACACTTGTGCAATTTTCACATTTGTTGAAGTGGTGGATACCTCGAAGGAGCTGAATTTTTAGAATTGTGTTACAAGTTGCTGATGTGACACATTGGGAGGTCCTGGCACCACCCCATGCTGAAGTGAAGGCAGGAGGATCACTGTCCTTTCCTGCCCTGACCAACAACTGGGGTAGGGGTCACTTGGCCACCCATTGAATATGGGTTGTCTAAATAGTTAATACGCACATACCTGCAAACTATCTGCAACAATTGTTTTTTTCCCATTATCAGGCATTCTGCTGACTTTGCAGGGGTTTCAAGGATTTGAAGTGGTATTATTGGAAGTATTAAAGGAAGATTAAGTACAGAGAAGTATTGAAATGGGAAAGTACAAGGGGAAGTTGTAGGGAATATGAAGGACCTGAAGAAGAAACAACTGACAGGAATCTAATACTTATTAGTGCCTTTGAATTGAAAAAAAAAAAAAAAGGAAAAATATATTGTTCTTCACCTAAAACTGAAGTGCACAGGAAGAAGCACTTTGCTCAAAATTTGTAGGAGAAAAAATACCATCTCTAGCTAGTAACCAAGATGCAAAAATGGAATTTCCAAATGTGATTTTTTTTTCCCAAAGAATTTATAAGCATATAGAACTCAATGTAATCTGGAAAAATTTTTTGCAAACTTAATGCTACTGATTACTGCCAAGTGAACATAAGTCATCTGTATCAAGCTTTATTTCACATGTAGTGGAAATGAAATTTCTAGTATTTGATGACATTTTCTATTCCTGATTATTGGCTGCATTTTACCATACAGTAACATCTGGCTTTTTCAGTACACTAAGCTGAGGCAGTTACTGCAGTATGTACTATGAGTATTAGAGATGCTTATTTCATGATTACTCTCTAATTCCGAAGTCTAAGAAATAATACCATTTAGAAGTGTAGGGACATATACTTGACCCCAAGCAGAGCTACAGGCTGGGAGATGAGTGGTTAGAAAGCTCCCTGGCAGAGAAGTACCTGGGAGTATTGGTTGATAGTCAGCTGAATATGAGCCAGCAGTGTGCTCAGGTGGCAAAGAAGGCCAACAGCATCCTGGCTTGTATAAGAAACAGTGTGGCCAGCAGGGGTAGGGAAGTGATTGTCCCCCTTTACTCAGCTCTGGTGAAGCTGCACCTCGAGTACTGTGTTCAGTTTTGGGCCCCTTGCTACAAGAAGGACATCGAGGTGCTTGAGCGAGTCCAGAAAATGGCAACAAAGCTGGTGAGGGGTCTAGAGAACAAGTGTTATGAAGAGCAGCTGAGGGAGCTGGGATTGGTCAGCCTGGAGAAGAGGAGGCTCAGGGGCGACCTTATTGCTCTCTACAGGTACCTTAAAGGAGGCTGTAGTGAGGTGGTGGTTGGTCTGTTCTCCCACGTGCCTGGTGACAGGACGAGGGGGAATGGACTAAAGTTGCACCAGGGGAGATTTAGGTTGGATGTTAGGAAGAACTTATTTACTGAAAGGGTTGTCAGGCATTGGAATGGGCTGCCCAGGGAAGTGGTTGAATCATCATCCCTGGAGGTCTTTAAAAGACGTTTAAATGTACAGCTTAGTGATATGGTTTAGTGGAGGACTTCTTAGTGTTAGGTCAGGGGTTGGACTCAGTGATCTTGGTGATCTCTTCCAACCTAGATGATTCTGTGAAAATATATGAACCAAGTATCTGGAGCAGGGAGGCTGCATAGTTCTAGCACAGTCCAATTTAATGTGAATCTTAATGAGAATAGAAAATCTTAAAGGATAGGTAAAGATATTATCTGTTCTACCTTTGTGATATGGTCATTACAGCAAATTTTCACTTTATAGATCATTTTAATCAGTATAACTCCAGGTAATAGTATTTGAGAGCTTTCATAGATCTTCATGGTTGCTTTTTTGTTTGTTTGTTTGTTTTGTTGTTTATTTGTTTGTTTTTTGATTTTTCTTTGACTTTTGTCCACCAAATCCCAGCTGAACCTCACTCTTTCCTTCCTCTTCTTTGTCATATCAAATCAAAGTTCTCATTCCTTTCATAATGTCATGATTGAATAATTCTGTCTTCACTTATTTATGTTTTATTGAATTATTCTTCACTCTGTTTATTCATCAATGTATTACCTTAGTATTCCATTTCTCCAATTTTCATCCAGTCCTTTAAGTTGTGTGTACAATTGCAAGAAGCTTAGGATCACAGAGGAGAAGCTGAGGCCAGATTCAGGCATTACAGCTACACCTCACAAGGATAATTCAAAGTACAACCCTGAATTAGAAACTGCTGACGTTCAGTTGGGAATCTGAATTCTAAGTTTCACAACCATATCATATTGCCGGAAGCAGAAACAGACACCAGCAGTATCTCATCTATAGTAGTGACTGGCTGTCACCACAACTTAATGCCAGATCCCGCAAAGCACTGAATGCTCCTAAGTCACAGTAGAACCAATAGGTTTCAGGAAGTGCCTGGCCTCTTTTAAGGTTATTTCCTAGTAAAAGTTACACAATATTTTATTTATCTGCATATCTTAAACATATTTGCTTGAAATTGTCTACTATACAGCAGCTTAAAATGTATTTAGTCATTAAATAGTTTTATTTTTCCTTTATCATTGTCAAAAGCAATTTTAAGGTACTGTATGATTACAGGTAGGCTAAACAACTGCACTAAAGAAATCATCTTTCTGATATAGTGAAACACCATCAAAACACAGCTCAGTAACAGACTTGTACAAATACTGCAATAAATTTATAGATGTTATATCACTTTATTTATTGTGGAGTTTCTACAGAATAGGAGAAAAAAAGATAAACTGTGATTTGCAGTTTACCATTTGCAAGTGCAGCAGTAAATGAAATTGATAATTCCATTTCATTTTTTACTAAACTGAGAAGGAATATGTCACTTACCTTTGTCTCAATTTGTTTGGTGTCTAGATTCTGAAAAAGCAGCTTTACTTTCGTTTTCCCATCATCTGAAGAGCCTTTGAGCTGAGAGAATTTAAACCTCCACAGCACGTTCTAAAGAGAAAGAAATTTGATTAAGGACTCTGTTACACACTGTTACCTAGAACTACAGATAAATGATTAATGTTTATGTATTATGATGAAGCATTAGGGCAGTAAACACAGTGCATGATAACAGGCGGTTGCAGAGCAAATAAAATTAACAGTTCTGTATCACATGTGGGAACAAAGGATACAATAATAATACTCACTAATTAAAAATTTACATAGAAATTATCTGAAATGTAAATGTTTCCATTGCCTACATGAAATAATATCAATATCCTTGACAAAAGCTTAGTTTTAAAAAGATCCGTTAGGATATTTGTATCAGTTTCAGTATGAACACAATTCTGCACCATATCTTGATCTGTCATATTTCAGCTGGCTCATCTGCATAATGTAGATAAATGTCTTACATGAATGATGCAAAGCTGAATTCACCTTGGCCAAAAAATGTGTAAAGTGGTTTGAAATCCAAAGATAAATATGAAATAGAGATGCAAAAACTTTATTATTGAATGTGGTCTTGTGAAGTACAAAAAATATGTTCCACAGCTGTTTCTAAAATACATAGGAAATCTAGGATTCTTGGTCTATTTTATGCAGGTTTATGCATGGGATCTTACTACTGCTGGCGTATCACGGATTCACAGGAGTATTTTAATATGTATAGAGATACTTTTCAAAACAAAACAAAACAAAACAAACAACTATCAAATTGCATCCAGACCTTCTGCTGATGTTTCCTTAATACCTACAACATTAATGAAAATTTCATGTACATGTTGAAACGTGATTCAGTCCCTGGACACTGATGAGAAAACACAATTTAAATGCTTTAAAGGCTATTTCAAAAGCCTGCCTTTTACAGGCAGGTATATTTTTCAATATACCTGCCTGTAAAATATTTTCTTCATATAGACCAATGCTATACCTTCACTTGTAAATTTTCTGACTTTTTCTCTGTGAATTTTTCCAATATTCTGTAGATAACACTGACTGGATTTGGGGTGGAATAGCTGCTCAGTGAGTCAGATGCAGTTACAGAAGTCCTTTCTACATAAGTTCAGACTATTTTCACTGTCTGAGAGGAGAGGTATTCTGCTAAGTTTTTAACTATTTCTACATATTCTAAATATTAAACTATTTCTACATATTCGAGTCCTGCAACATAGTTAGTAAATTCAAGGGAAGTGTTGGATTATTCCTAATTTAGAATATATAATTTGGAAGAGAGCAGGAGACCTGCTTCCTTCAGATTAGCACTTTGGTAAATTATCTATTCACATTGTTGCCAGCTACTACATTATTATGCCTTGATGCCTTTAATGGTAATTAAATAATTACATTCAACTTGATATATCCTTGTTGCGACTAAATCCCCACTCTTCTGGGTGCTACCAGAACACAGAAAAGAAGAAATATCAGTCTGAGAGATGATTAGAATGATAAAGGAAAAGTAGAGGTTTTGTATTTGTGTCATTAGCCAATGATTTTCCTTTTTTAGTGGATATGGCAACACTTGAATTAATGACAACTGGTAAGCGTGATAATCTATACATTGAATGATGCAAGCCTCACAAATTTCAATTATTTTTTTGTCTGTGTGATCTTTAGAACCCTACTCATCGTTTGAGAAGGAATACCCTATGCACAAACAAAACAAAATATGTTTATGCATTTGTTTATACAAATAAAAAGGTATGAAAAGCCTTACTTCATCTCCTGGTTCCCTGCAGACACAAACATCATTGGCTTCTTAGATTTCTTAATATAAAGGATGAAAAAAACTCACCCCACCAACAATGCTATGGCATTCTGCTGGTGCTTAAAATTCATGAACAAATTTTAACTGGGTCCAGAGGGCCTAATTAGACCACCTGAAAGGTATTCTTAAATAGGTTTGGATCTAAATAGGATAGAGGAATGTTCACTATATACTATAATTGCTTAGATGGGGATGAAACACAAACAATTTAGCAATAATAGGCATTGCTGAAGTCAATAGTTGACACTGAGTGGAAAAGAGAAATAGATGGCTCTGGAAAGAAGAAAATGCACACTTGGGGATCCCTTTATTTTGGATAAGCGGCTGGAGGCATGGGATAGGGAAGATGAACCAACTAAGCCAACAGATAAAGAAAATCTCTACGACAAAGCAGCAGCAGGATGCAATGGTATCTCTGTGATGGGCCCCAAATGGTATATCTGAATGAGTTACGTCCATGATGACCATAGAATAGACTATGTATGTAATGAAGCAATTATATCAAACATGTTTGAGAATCCCCCAAAACTGTTCTAATGAAGAGTTTTCTAAAAGATGCATAAACTCCTAAGGAAAAGTTCTTGCCCTTTCTATTTTGTCATTTGTAATGTGGAAAGCCTCTTTACATCCCTTTAAAGACTGTAGTAAAGAACACTTTTTAATGAGTGCATGAACTGTTTGCCCCAAATTTGAGATCCACCTTAGAGTTTTAGGTCAGACCAGATGAATGTGCTTCATTTTAATAAGCCTCTATGAGTACCTGCTGTGCTTTAAGTGATTTTTTTTTTTTTTTATTTTGCATCAATAGATGACCTTAATTTGAAGTTCATTGTCTAGATGAGAAAATATTTATTTTCAGCAAAATTTTTGTGTCCCTAATGAACTGCTAACTACTTGACCACTTCAACAAATTAGTCAGTCTTGGTAAGAAATATTCTAAAAAGACTGATTGTGTAGCAACACCGTCAACTTCAGACGACCATTATGGACAGTACGAATGAACAGTGGAAGCTGCCCATTACTGCCTCACACAGGCTTGAGGATACAAAGCAGGTCCATCTCTCATAGACATGAACAAGAAACGTGCATGAACTCTCCAGAATTTTTACAGTTTAACAACAGAATTAATATATCTAATGTTATTTTTTTCCCCTTTTAGGTAAGCATCAAAGGTTAATCAAAATCCTCCTCATTATATATACTGTATAGGTGTATATAGCTGTGTATATATATATATATACACCTATAAATGTATATATACCTTTGACATTGGGTCAAAGTCCTACCCTTTCTATAGGTAATACCTTGGTTCTACTGAACACAGTAGGAATGAGATTTTAGTTATGATACATTTACTGATCTTTTGAAAAGGAGTGTCAATAGATTTTATTCTTTATTTTTTTAAAGGTGGGAGTACACTAAATCAACCTTCACATTTAAAAGAAACATCTTCAATAGTCTAAACTAATGAGATGATTACCATCTATACTTCCCCTGTGACTACATGCAAAATGTGCTATGCAGAGCATTAATTTCAGAATGCAGTATCACCAAAGACAAAGAAGAATATGGAAACATATTTTCAGAATTATTATGCTACTCATAGGACATGTAAGGCAACTAGTCTAAATTTTCAAATAATAATAATCTTGGTCATTATTTCACTGCATAGGGATCTCAATAAACTTGTACATTTTTGCCAAAATACCAAAAAAGCCAACACACGAAAACTAGGTAAGGTATTAATGTTTCAAAATGCAGTATCTTTCATCTTAATTTAGAATAACTGATTAGCATATATTATAAAAATCATTTTGGTTTGGATTTGAAGATCATATTTTACAGGACAGATTTTCTACTGTACAGCTCTATTAAGGTGGAAACATTTTTTTTTATGTAAGTTTGCTTTTACTGGCAAATAAATTTATAAATTTAGTTAGAATCACTTCAAATTATATTTAAAATAGTAGAATTATAGATATGGTTTTGAAATTGGAACATGCCATAAAGCATTCCCTATAGTCGCTTTATATAGCCACTCAATTTTTCAAGGTAAGTGAATTTAATCATATAGATTGGCTTTAAAACGCATTTGCCCTTGTTCTGTTTAGTTTAGATATAGCCTAAATATCTTATGATGGAAGAATAATTCATTCTATTTTATATCTGTAGCTTCAAAACAAATAGAACCAGGTGAAAGTTCAATATTTTTCATAGCTGGTAATCTGTTCAAAATCTTGAAGTTTCTCTGTTACTAAGAAACCAAGTTCTCTGCTATATATAACCTTCTTTTTTATTGCTTGGAAAGGAAATTACTTTTTTTTTTATATCTTTCTCCAATATCTATCTTTACATGCTATGGCACAAGTAGATAATCCTTTTCTAGTCTCAAACTAGAGACTAGAAAAGCATTTTGGAGGTGCTTTAAAAATAAAAAGCACATTATATTTGAGGAAAAAATACTCCACATCAATATAAATATATGGTTACTGATAACTTCAAGAACAGTAGAATAAAGCAGTTATGTTTTCTTTGTGTTTTTTTTTTTTTTTTTTCCATCTTACCTTTGTTTTACTGTCAAAACAGGTAAATCCCAGAGCAAAGTCGACAGTGAAACATAGGGTATCGCCTTGCCAACTGCACATATATGTTTTAGACTGGGAAAAAACAAAACAAAACAAAACAAAACAAAAACAACCACACATGAATTTTAGGAGAGCAACCATCATCTCAATTTATCACATAAAAATAATACTTCATATGATTTTGTGTGTGTGAGAAGACACTCATCTAGTAGCACTGGTACTTGCCTTATCGCATCTTAAAATTGTCAAAAAATTCTGACTAAGTTTGTATGAGATCTGTAAGCTAGAGATGAACTGGAGATCTTCTTTATATCAAATCACTCTTCTGCAAAATAAAGACAACGTTCTTGAAAGCCATTCCTTACCAAATGCAACAGAAAACAAAGTACAATCTGACTATTTTAAAGCTATTGGAGAACTGCATGGACCGCACCTATTAATGACTTCTCACATCTTCTCCAGTAAATACGGGGGTAACACTGCCTAAATGTTTAATGATTGCAGTCTAATTATGAAAGAACTGTCTGTCTACTTGATCTCTCTGCTTGATGTAAAGTTTGAAGACAGTCTTTTACTTTGCAACGTCTTCAGTTGTAAACTTGGCTCACATGTTATTGACACACCATGACGGTTCATATTGTTTAAAACAATTTAGCAATTACAATAAATAACTACTACTCATTATTTAGCACTGCTACTTGTTAGATACATAGCCAGTGCTATATATATGCCAATTCTTCAATCTCTTTTCAATCTTCAATCTCCCTTAAGAGGGAGTACAAAAATTCTGTTTTATTAAAAAAAACAACCAGCCAAAGAACCAACACACCAAGAAGTTTTTGTTTTAACTTCTGAAAAAAATTTACATCAAAAAATCAATTAATGCTCTTTGCATGCATTTTTAAAGGCTTTGGTCTCTCCTAGATTCTGAACGTATGACAAAGTATGCTGCTGATGTAATATGACAGAACTTAATGAGATTCACATTAAAGTAAATGGCAAAAAGCCCACTGCCTTCATCATGAATAGAGGTCAGAATGTGCCTTGAGCCTTTCCTCACCTCACCTTACCAGCCATTTCATGATATATAAATACCCTCAGTCTTTATGATTTTTTTTTTCCCCCAAGGGAGCATTATTTTGCTCTCATTGATATTTCATAAATCACATTGTTGCCTTACCCTTAGACATTTGTTTGCTGGAATTTATTTATTTTTTTAACTGGATAGTTTCTTTAAATGCAGAAACATGGTATTAACACAAGAATTGCCTAAAGAAGATTGCAAGAAGTAATGAAATTGCTAAAGTTGAAAATTGTCCCATGAAGTTGTTCTTCAATTTTTTATTTTTTTTTTGCATAATCTAAAACTTCTGTTTTTAGTAACTGTGAAGTTTTCCTTATTCCACTACTTAAAGAAATACTTAGAGTTACACTAGAGTAAGAATTTCTGAGTTACAGACATGACATTTTGTAAAGGATTTTGAAAGGGCTGGGAATGAATTTCATTTATTAGTACAGACTAGTATTATAATCAACTGAACAATGACAGATGTAAATTATTTCTGAATAAACTATTTTGCTCATTAGTGTTCAAAGATCGTATTATTTGGTATTAAAAAGATTGCAGTGATTGATAATCAATCAGAACACTCTGTAATTTAAATATTTATATATATGCATTTAATATATTTAACTTAAATATTCCCACATTTTATTCAGTAATTGTAAGGTGGTATTAAGCATCAGTCTTAACTTATTCTCTTTTATTATCCAATTTAAATAGTTAAAAAGCTGGGCTCTGACTCACTAATGCAGTTTTGAAAATGTATTAAATTAGATTCCCCCCATGAGTAAACATCTAATTGCTCTGTCACACATGGTGATTATTAAAATGAACTATTTACAAATAATTAGCCCAAACTATTTTACAAATATTAAATATTTGCAAATGGAACTGGTTTAGAAGTGATTTGCAGGCAAACACTAAAGGCAAACAGATTATGCTGCATTTTCAGTGTGATAACCATTACAAATAAAGTTTGTACTTAACCAAAAAAAATAATAATAAAAAAAATAACATTTTCTTTATAACAGAAGTAGTTTGAGTTTTGCCATATAAGAGAGATAACGGCAGGTATTAAATTTAAAAACCTGCCTCTGGCATTTGCTCAGTGACTTTGAACAGGTTCTCAGATAGCTCTAATAAAGACCCCTATCCCCACTTATTCACACTAGTACAGAGCACTATCCCTTCTAATTCTTGTCTTTGGAATAAGCTTCCCATATACTTGCAATTATGTGATCACCCTTGTTTATCTACAGAAGTTGTTTACATAGAGGTTTAACAATAGAAATCTGATCTTAGTTGTCTTCAATGTAATTTTCCAGAAAAACATCTTAGTACGTATCAGCCAGCTCTCTGCAGGTGTTCAACTTGAGAATCCACAGTTTAAGCACCAGCGAGGAAAAATATAGGTTATTTTAAGCAGTCTTCCTTACCAATTGGAAATGAGATTTTTCTTAGCTTAGGTCTAATACTGGTTTATCACAGAGCACTTAGGAATTGTAAATAGCTGAGAACTTACAAGGTATCAATTTAAATTTTGCATTACAATATTTTCCTATCATTAAGCTATACTCAAATAGTCACATTAATTTTCATTAATTTACACAGTTCATGTATATATGAAAGTTCAAAACTGTAGCAAATGTGGCACAGTGACAGCATTTGGCTTACATTGCTCCAGAGTAGGTGTAAAGTTTTCCAGCTGTAATCTTGGTGTCTCTGATGGCAACTGATTATCATAAAAGCCAGTGGTTACAGAGACTGGGAGTTTAAGCCTGATGAACTTTCTTTAGTAAAAAGAATTAAGCTATTAAAAACAAGGCATCACATCTGAACTGCATCAGGTCAGCAAATTGTAGTATATATCCCAGATCAATTACTTAATCTCTTCCAAGCACAGGTGAAGTGATCTGTAGAATAATCGTTTGTAATGGAAGACAATTACAAAACTCTGTATCTTTTTTTTTTTCCCTTTTTTTTTTTTTCTTTTTCACCCAGGTATCAATATCATAATGCATATATGTGTAACTCATGAAAAGATCATTAAGTTGGCAATATGACTGTCCAAATAAGGGAAGAATGGTGTTTATGACCCATTTGCCAAAGGAATTGTTAGACTTCCTGTGCCTACTCAGAAACAGGGTGAAAGTGTGACAGCATCATGGTAACAACACACTGTAAATGTAGGCAGCATCAAGCAATACTAACATTATTATGCACTAATTAGCATTATCTCACATGCTGGTATTACCAGGTTTGAGCAGTCCTGAACACACATGCTCTCTGCCTACATCTTGTCCATGCCTTCAGACTGGGTCCTCTTCACCAGCAGCTCATGTGGAAGTGAGCAAGCCTCTCTGTTCCAGCAGCAGTAGGGGAAGGCTAAAAGCTTTTCCTTCTAGATGATGAAATTCCCACCTGTCCTCAGCAAATCACTAATATAAAGCCAAGCCCCTGCCTTTACATAAACTGCAAGCAACTGAGATTCTTAGAGGGGAGTAAGAAGAGTGGGTAGTGTTTCTGTGGGAGGTAGTCCTCGTCAGACAGTCCTGGAAGCTAAATGATGGGAAAAGAGATCCTGTGCTTAGGGGCAGGAGGTGTCAGAGAGAGTAAGTACCCTTCTAATGCAGCCGTCAGAACAAAATGAAGTCCCTATGTTTATCCTAGGGCAAGACTCCAGCCCTGTAAGGAGGTCGCATCTGGACAGCTGTTCATCTTTCATCTCCCAGCTACAAAACTCTTTACACATACACCACACTGCATGTCAGTACAGTTAACTAATTTTCTGATGCTTGGGAAGCTTAGCACTTTTTCCTTTTTATTTTATTTATTTATTTATTTTTTCTATCCACATCACCAGAGAGTCAATTAGCATCTTCCATGACTACACACACATCCTGGAATCTGCAGGAGGTAATTAGCACTGAAGGCTTGGGTCAATTATCTCTTAATAGGAAAAACAGAAAAACTTCTCTAATGCTTATCTTCCATCAGTTTTTAAAGCATGGAGAGAACAGAGGACAAGTTGCTCCAGTACTCCAAAACAAAGACTGGCGTAGCATTCTGTGTAACAATGAGCAGAGACTTTTAAAATACATTCAAGGACGGGCCAATTAATTTCAAAGCTGGCTATTACGATAAACAGTCACAATGACTGTTTCCCTTGGAAAGAGGGAACATGTTTGTGAACAGATCTGGTAACTCAACACGAAGGGCTTTAAATTCCATTCATATGTGTCAGGTTCCTAAGTAAAAAGGTAAGGAAGTGCTAAAAACAGAGAACAAATTCAGAGGAAAAGACAAGACGGTCTTTCTTATTTCCACTCAGACAAGGGTGCAGAAGAATATGCCTCAAATTTCTGTACAGTGAGACACAGAGATGGGGACACAAACAGAACAAGGGATCAGTTCGTGTGTAGGCACTGGCCTATGACATGGTTGGAATGAGGCCACATTGGAGTACTGCATCCAGTTCTGGGCTCCCCAGTACAAGAAGGACATAGAAGTATTGGAGCGAGTCCAGAGGAGGGCTATGAAGATGATGAGAGGACTGAAGCACCTGTTGTATGGTGACAGGCTGAGAGCGCTGGGCCTGTTTAGCCTGGAAAACAGAAGACTGAAGGGAGATCTCATCCATGTGTATAAATATCTGAGGGGAGGGTGTCGAGAGGATGGAGCCAGTCTCTTTTCAGTTGTGCTCAGTGACAGAACAAGAGGCAACAGGCACAAACTGAAGCACAGGAGTTGCTGGCTGAATATGAGAGGGCACTTCTTTACTGTGAGAGTGACAGAGCACTGGGACAGGTTGCCCAGAGAGGTTGTGGAGTCTCTTTCTCTGGAGATATTCAAAACCCGCCTGGACGCCATCCTGTGCAATGTGCTCTATGTGATCCTGCTTGGCAGGGGGGTTGAACTAGATGGTCTCCAGAGGTCCTGTCCAACCTCATCCATTCTGTGATTCTGTGAATTAGAGACTTGGCAGGTAATAGGCACCATTGCAGCTGAG